ACGCCGCTGGGCTTAGAAGACCCCAAGCTGGACATAGACAGCCCTACACTGAACATGAGGGTCCCACACTGGCCTTAGAAGGCCCCACAATGGACTTAGAGAGCCCCACGCTGACCTTAGAGGGCTCCACGGCTGGCCTTAGAGGGCTGCGCGCTGGCTCCTTAGGGTTCCACGCCCATTCCACGCCAGCGTCGAAGGGTCCCACCCACGCCCAAGTCTAAGCTTCTCGAGGACCGCCGAAACGGCCTCTGAGTGCCCCCACGCTAGCCTCTGGGGCTCGGCCTCAGCTTCTGAGGGCCCTGAGACATGAGGGCCCTACGCCGGCCTCTGAGGGCCATCAAATGGTAAAATTAACCCTCGCCCGTAAACGGCGATCTGCCACCTTCGCCCATGCAGGGGGGGGGGGGGTTGGTGCGACCCCCCCTTGGCGTTTGAAAACGGAGCGTCGTAGAGCTTAGCAGAAAAGACCAACGGATTGCTCTCGCCGAGATCTCGCGATTGGTGGTATATTTTTTGGTCCTAGGTCAACATTTGACCTACTTTTGACCGGTCAAAGGTCAAATTTTCGGAAAAATAGACTTTTTTCAACTTTCCGCGGCAATTGCGGCAAAACGGTGGGAGATATCGACTTGAAACCTTCACTATCGTGTTCCTTGATCAATTCTCTATCGTTTGGTATGTATTTCGTTTCCCTAGCTCTAAAAATGGCGCGTTGGGAGCGCCGGAAGTCGGCAAGGTCACAGTCGGCGGCAGAAATTCGAAAAATCAAAATTTAAATTTTTGAAATCTGATTGTATTTTTGGATTTGGAAGGTCCATTTGCTCCCTATAGAAGCTAATATTGCTGCATATTCCCATTGAGGTGACAAGAATTAGCAAAATAGTGGTTCGGGCGCTTTTCAAAAATAGTACCGGACGCTGTTCCACTTGTGACGTCATAGCTCCGTGACCTGACCTGACCCGGTCAAGTTTCTTATACCATATGATAGCCAATACTTGCCCCAACATGCATGGGAGGTTTCATCACGATCCATCAACCGATGTCCGTACCACCGGCAGGAAACCTCGGGCGTTGGCACTCAGTTTGTGAAAATCCGGCCGGAGGCTGTTCCCTTTGTGACGTCATAACTCCGTGACCTGACATGACCCGGTCAAATTTTTTTTATCAAAAGATGCGCAAGGTTTGCCCCATAAGGTACCCAAAATTTGGCGACGCTGCGCGCTGCTGTTTTTGCACTATTTCCGAAAAACCTCAGGGGGGGGGGTTGCACCAACCCCCCCCCTACATGGGCGAGGGTTAAGATAGTTTGACGTAGTTGACTTTATTTAATGACTTAATGACGTAATGACTTTATTTAAGTTTGGGCCAGTACTTCGGATAAGGCCCTGAAGGTCGTTTCTCTTGGGACACCCAAGCATGCACGTACCCAGGATTTCGCCCAGGAGGGGTCAACCTGCTCTCGAAGGGGCCCCGGGTTACCTGGGGGCCACTGACGACCCAGGCAGGGACGTATCCAGAACATTTCGATGGGGGGGATTGAGCACAGTGGGTCCGGTCCCCCCTGCGGACGGGCCCCCTCTGTCTGTCTGTCTCACTGTCTGCCTGTCTGTCTGTCTGTCTAAGCCCTGAGAAAATGTGGAGAATTGGCAGATAAAGTATCATTTTGCCTGAGCAATGTGCTTAAGATGCACGGTCTTTTATGAAGAAGCGAAGCGAGCGAGCCCGTCAGAGTCGCCGGTGTTGGTCCCTCAGATTTGTCTGCGGAAGGCCGTCAGATGTGCTGGTGTGGGGTCCACACAGGCGCCGGTTGTGGGGCCTTAGGGCTTAGAGACGCTGGTAGGGGCCGGCATAGGCATGTATGGGGCCCTGAAAGTTACTAGTGGCCCTTCATAGGGTGGCAAGGGAACCTCAGATGCCGGTAAGAGGCCCTCAGAGTCGCTGGTAAGTGACGGTTAGATGCGCTGGTATAGGGCCCTCGGAGGCGCTGGTGAGCGGGCCTTCAGAGCCGCCGATGTAGGCCGTTAAGAGGCGCTGGTGTGGGTCCCTTAGAAGTGGCGGTGAGGGCCCTCACAGGCGCCATTCTGAGGGCCCTCAGAAACACTGGTGTGGGCCGTGGGGGCATAACAAACAGGTGTGGGGCCCTTACAGCTGATCTCTCATTAGCCTTCAAGGACCCTCAGAGACCGGCAAGGTCCTTCAGAACCTGGGGTGGGGCCCTTCTGGAGATAAGTGTGGCTACATAAGAGCCCATGACGTGTCCTCAAAAGCCCCGTGGTGTCCTTTCACTCCTTTCCAGTTGAAGCGTGACCAGCGCGGACCCTCTGATGTCAATTGGCACCGTAGGGCCCCTCAGGCCCGAGGTGACCCTAAACCATATAACGGACACGTGTCCCCTCGCCCCCTGGCTATGCCATTGAATCCAAGTGATCAGGGGCCCTTTAGGTAATCAGGGGCCTCTCAGGTGACTGCAGGGGCTTTTCAATTGACCAGGGGCCCACCAGGTTACTGTAACCAGGGGACCCTCTGATAATCAGGGGCCGGTTATACCAGGGGCTCCTCGGGCAACTAAGGGCCTTCATGTGACTGCAGGAGGTACTCCCCGGGTAAACATGGCCCCTCAGGTGACCAGGGCTTCTTCAAATGACTGGCCAGGGGCCATCCAGGGGTCAGTGGCCCATGCGTAACTAGGGGCCCCTCAGATAACCAGGGGCCCCTCAGGTAACCAGGGGCTCTCGTAACCAGGGGTCCCTTACCAGGAGTCATTCAGATAACCAGGGGTCCCTCAGGTAACCAGGGGTCCCGTGACCACGGGCCCTCAGGTAACCAGGGCCCCTCAGATAAACAGGGGCCCCTCGGATAGCCAGGGGTCCCTTAGACAACCAGGAACCTCTCAGACAACCAGGGGCCCCTCAGATAACCAGGGGCCCCTCAGGTAACTAGGGGCTCGTCAGATAACCAGGGACTCCTCAGGTGACCAAGGGGATCCTCAGGTGACCAAGGGGACCCTCAGGTAACCAGGGGCCCCTCAGATAGCCAGGGGCTCTCAGGTAGTTAGGGGCCCTCTGTGTTCGTCACTGTGATAAATATCGCTCTTTGATATTAGTTTTTCTTCCGAGTAAAAGACGTTCTGTCTGGTACTGGAATTAAGACAGGGAGACCCAAAACGCCTTCGTCACGCTCGGTCCCCCCGAGTTATCCTTGGACCTCAGGGGCCCCGAGGCCCCCTTGGGTACGTAACTGCACTCAAGTGACCCAAAGGGCCCACTTGCATGTCTGATCCCAAAGAGGGAGGCCATGGCCTCTTGGCCTCCCCCCTGGATACGCCACTGGCTGTTAAGGTAATTGCGCAAATGAGAGCTATCTGATCAGTCTTGATGCTCTGGATAACATAGTTTATCTTATTTCCTATATACTTAGCTTGATGTTATTGACTGAAGTGGTATACCACTCAGCGAAGATATCCCATTTTGATGTCCAATTTTCCCTTATTTTCCTTTTAAACGATGGCTAGTTGAGTCCATATAATTCATGTTGTTGATATCATAACAGCTCAGCTCGCATTGATCACATAACAAGTTTTCTTCTGGGATTATTTAGCGCTAACCCCAATTATTGGTTGCACAATGCGCACGCTGATCATCAACCTAGCCTGTTATAAGGCTCCCCTGCTGACCACCTTCCCATCCCCACTCGGCGCATTCCTACACAAACTGCACGTGTCCCTTCGCGGCCAACAGACAAACATGAGCGTGGAATTCGTGTCTGACCCACATCCCTACACACAGTACTAACTCGCATCGCTCACTTATCAGTCGAGCGGAAAACACTGCTGAACTTGGCCGAGAGAGCCGGGTCGGGCCGGTGTGGGTCGGAGGGCCGGGCGCCGCCGGCTATTTGGGGCGGCGCGCGCTGCAACAGCTGGCTGGGAGAGCCGCCGGCCAGAGGGCGAGGGTCACGACCGGGCCCGCTGCCAGCTGGCTGCCCCGGGGGCGTTACAGACAGGCGGTCGGTCAGCGGCGCGTCGTGTCGGAACGCTGCACAGGCTGGCACCGGCGCCGAGACTCAAACGTGCCGCTAGTCCACAGGTGTGCAGAATAACGTTACAACAAAATGATTCGATTTTTTTTCGACATTTTCTTGCAAAGTGCTGATGAGCTGGCCGACAGGACCTTTGTGGTGTGTGAACGTTGAAGTATATAAGATCAGCCCTTTCTTGACATATAAGAAATTCAAGAGCTTTCCAAACGACGAAAATTACGCCACAAATTAATTAGACATTTCCTCATAGGCGTCTTCTGTGGTGTCATGTATTCCTTTTAGTCTGTTGAAGTCTAATGTGCCGGCTGTGAGGTGTTTCCCCGCCGAGAGAGGTCGGCTAAGAGTACTGGGCCGTCCAGGGAGTCCACTGCCAATTACCCTGACCGATTGGTTGGTGGACGGAGACACCGCAGCTGCTCCCGGCAACAGCAGCTGCTGCCGCCGCTGCCGCTCTCACTTTCCTGTCGTCTTTTCTCCCCTCCTCTCTCATCCTTCTGCTCCTTCTCCGTCTCTCTCTCTCTCTCTCTCTCTCTCTCTCTCTCTCTCTCTCTCTCTCTCTCTCTCTCTCTCTCTCTCTCTCTCTCTCTCTCTCTCTCTCTCTCTCTCTATCTCTCTCTCCCTCCCTCCCTCCCTCTGTCCTCGATCTCCTTCTTTTATGTCCATCCATCATTTTCTTTTATGGTAAATGATGTTGTTTTACTTTTGCTCCACGACTTAGGGCAATGTTACGGCACTTACGTTTATAATAATAGCCGTTTTCACGATATGTTTTCGGATTATTTCATAGAGACGATATTTTTATTTTAGCAGCCCGGCCAGACGAGGGTCATTTTTCATATGTCCATTTTTATGTTCCTCTGTTCTATACTCTGTTCTTCTGTGATGTCAGTAGGTACACATTGCACACGCTGCCCTTTTACTCTGCCAGGCTGACCCTCTCCTCCCTCTTCTCTGCCCGCCAGGTCACTATCTGCTCATGAGCAGCCACCGGAACGTGACGCAGGCGCAGATCTGGTCGCCCTGGTACGAGGAGTCCGGCGAAGACTGCCGGATAGAGATGGACATCTGTTCCCACACCCTGAGGCGCACCAAGATCGCCATAGTCATCAACAAGGAGCACGGCGATCCGGTCTACATGTCCTGGCACCCCAAACACACATCCGGAGAGTGAGTAGAAAAATTTGTCTGCTTGTATAGCCCTAAATTTAGATGCCTAAACGGAAAGGGACGTTTCTTTTCCATATATTTGTGCGCATGGGCTTTTGCGTAATTTCTAAGATATTATGCCATCAGTGTCTTATTTCATAAGGGTTTAGCGAATGATTTTATTTGGGTTTATTTTAACGTTTGGGTTTCTACATAAATTGTTGGTAACAATGCATCGTAAAGGAGTTTACCTAGCTCGGTAAACCAACACATAACACAACGACATTACTTTATCATCCAAATGTAAACAGTTAGCATACATGTGTTAGTGCGAGGGGACTGTTGAACTTCCTAGGTACACATCAACTACGACATTGGCGATTCAGCAGGCAAGTGAAGTGTGACGGACCGAAATGTCGCGTTTCAGGTGGAACAAGTTTACAGAGAAAATAAGTAAAATCAGGGAACGTTTTCATTTGATCATTGAGATGAAAGACCTCGGCGGCAAGACTCCAAATCACATCGGGATCGACAACATTCTTCTCAAGGACTGTATGAGAGGTGAGTGGCTGGGGTTGTCAAAGAACAGTCGCGAACTGCATTGACACACGCGCGAACAGTGGGCACCTTGTATAGCGGCGCCTGCCTGCTGCCGACGCCGTAAGCCCGCCTCAGCTGGGCTTAGCGCACGGAGGCTGCCTCTGCGGTCTGAGACGGCCCACACCTGCTCGGGAGCCCCCCTTCCCACTCCCACCTCCTCCCCACACAGGTGGTCCATGTCGGAGTATTGTGGGCGCACCGTACGCTGTCGTCGCCGCCGTAGATGGCAGCTTGCCATTGTCGGGTCGTCAGCGTAAAGCGCTTAGTGTATTTTTGTGTGATTGCTTCAGGTTCTGTATGTGCGTCGATGATGACATCTTCATAAAATGTCTGCCCGGTGGTCCATGTGTCCGCTGGTTTGTGTTTGCCGATATTTGACCGCTGATCTGTGTCCAATGACCTCTGTCCGTTGGTCCATGTGTCTGATGGTCCGATGGCTCCACCGCTGCATTGGTCTGCATCTGGTCTGTGTCCGTCGGTCTGTGTCCGCCGGCCTGCATTGGCTTTAGCCTCTGTCCAATGGCCTATGTCCGGTCCACGTGTCCGCTGGTGTCCGTTGACCCGCTCCCCAGTCTGAATCCGCTAATGCCCCCCCCCCGGTCTGTTCGGAAATTTAGTTGACCCCCCCCTCTGTGCCCGGTAATGCCAGTGCCCCCCCTCCCCCAGTCTGTCTCTGGTAATGCCGGAGCCCGCCATCCCCGTCTGTCTGGCCGTCGTGCCCGCGGCGCGGCGGTCGCTGCGATTATCCGCCGTGTCGGGAGCCATTGGCGGCCGCGTGCTGACGGCGCTGCCGTGTCACCCTGTACCGGGGCCGGGTCAGAGGCACAGCGCGTGCCACACGCCACGGCTGGAGGGCAGGAAACGCGCAAAACACTGCACATGAGAGCGCACGGCACTGCACAATGCTGCACATCAGGAGCACAGCACAGCACAACATTGCACGATACTGCACACCAGAGGCGGATCCAGCTCAGAGGTTTGGGGGGGGGGGGCAAACCATAAAAATTTATCGATTCTTTCCATGCATCGTCCATAGGCGTAATGTTAAAATCATGCCGTTTGGGGGGGGGGGGGCAAATGCCCATTTTGCCCCCCCCCCCTGGATCCGCCACTGCTGCACACCGGTAGCACACGGTACAGTGCACGATACTGCGTGTATTGTGAGCGTACAACACAGCACAGTGCACAAGCACAGCCGACACAGAGCTTGAGACACAACAAACCGCAGCTAAACAAAATACGAATGTGGTTTTCCGCTCATTTCAGAAACGCAGCCGACGCAGCAGCCGTGCGACTTTTTCCAGTGCTACAACAACAAGTGTCTGAGCGCCGACGACGTGTGCAACATCAAGAGGGACTGCCACGACGGCGAGGACGAGTCCGAGGACCAGGGATGCGGTCAGTTACACGCCGAGCTATTCTGTAATACATTGACGAGGTCTGGCCTCGGTAGACCGTAGATAAATAAGATCACTAATGCGGAAAATGCCTTATCAAGACATAAGTAACGTAATCCCATAGTCCGTACGATTCTATCAATTACTCCCTTGGATCAAAGCTTCCAGCTTACAGCATCGGTTTTTTTCCACAGGCAAGACGCCGCCGGGAACACCGTGCGACTTTGAGTCGGGCCAGTGTGGCTGGAAACGGGGCCAGGGCGAGCTCGAGTGGAAATACCGTTCGGGCCACGAGGCAGCAGCGTTTGGCAGGACCCCCACCTACGACCACACCGTGGGAAACGCCAGTGGTGAGTGGAAACAGGAGAAACGCTGCTGTGGCGAGTGGAGTCCTGGGAAACGCCAGTGGTCGGTATACATAGAATCCTGAGGGACGCCAGCGATATGTGGCCAGAGGCAACGGGAGGCGCAGGTTCAGGTGTGGACAATGGGGGTGCACTGCACCGCGCCAGTCACAGTACGACCCATGATGGGCTCCGGACACCATGCAACCTTTTCCGTTTACATTTTGATACGAACGTTTATCGGCTGAACTTTCACTGGCTGCTAAAGTCTGCGACAATTGACAGTGATGTCATAATTCAGTTTGCGTCATATACCTACAGGGTGAATGGGTGGTACCTCAGGTGATTATTTGATTTATGCTCATGACCCATGGCACTGAGCAGGGGGTATTTCCTTATGATAAGATTGCTTATATGTTCCGGAAATGAGAGCCAAACTTCGACAGCGTCAGGAAGAGAGGTTGTGACACCTCATAACTTTTGCACTTTTTTTGCTGCTGCAATTAACCCGCGACCTGGTGGGGGGGGGGGCTATTTTTTGCCCCCCTCCAGACTTTTCGATATATCTCCAGAACCGCTGCGCCGATCGTCACCAAACTTTCAGTACCCTCCCGGACATCAATTTTACACATTGTGACCAAAAATTTTTCCATAGGCTATGATAGGTTGGCCGGAAATGACGTCAGAGTCACGTCATGTTCTGCCGTTTTCGACCCAAAAAAGGGTTTCGCGGGAAGAGCTGTCAGGCCTATAGCTTTGCAAATACAGAAAAATGATAAAAAAAAAATAAAAGCTGTAGAATCAACAGGGCTACAAAACTGCAATCTCGGATTTTTGAAATTTTTGGATTTGAACCCCCAAAAATCAAAAAAATAATTTTTTTTGGATATAATAATCGAAAAATCCAAAAAGTTTTTTGAATTTCGCAAAAACCGGAATATGTGTGATAGTCCTTACCACCTTCCATCTACATACCAAATTTGAGATTGATACCTCTTTTTTTGGCGAAGTTATAGCGAAAAAAACTGTTCAAAATTGATGACGTCAAATTTTCAAACTTAATTTTTAGCAATTCTAGACCCCGTAGCGTAAAACAAAGACCACCATTAGACTCCCCGTGACGAGCTGCATCGAATCAATACCCATTTTATGCAAAACTATCAACTTTAAAATTTGACCTTTTTTGGCCTGACCTTGACCTGACCTTGACCTGAACTTCACCAGAAAGTGACCTAAGCCGTACCTGATAGTCTTATAACCAACACCATTGAGTTGGAAATGAAAAATTGGCCATAAAACATGCATCACACAACCTTAGTAAAGTTGGGCTCATGTGACCTGACCTGTGACCCTTGGTGACCTGACCTATGACCTGACCTGGTATTGTCAGTGACCTCTAATAGCAACATATCTACTAGGCAACTGACGCCCTATCGCTGATTATCGACAAAATGCGTTTTCCTCGGTGTTATAGCGCATTCCCTAGCAGACCCGTGAACGGTGAAACATTTCATCTTTGACCTGACCTGTGACGTCATCGGTGACCCCGAGGTCAATGAAATTTGGTTTCCTTCGACAAATTTGATAGGCCTTTCGAACGCCGTTTGAATTTTGCGGATCCGTCCAGTAGTTTCGGTGATACGAGGGGGGGGGGGGGGGGGGCAAAAAGTAGCCCCCCCCCACCAGGTCGCGTTATAAACAGACCCCACCAGGGCGCGGGTTAACAGCGAATTTACCAAGCTAATGTAACATTTTATGCCACCACCAATTCTGTGTCTTGGCGGGCGCAGCTGATGCACCATGTGTAATTGTATAACTGTATAACCGAACTGCAGTAGGTGATTGTCGTGTTTGCGCTGCAGGCCATTTTATGCTGGCGGAGTTCATCAGCGGCCTGTTCTCGGCTCACGGAGAGCTGGTGTCGCCTGCGTTTCCGCCAATGCCTGCCTTCAACAGCGACCCACACTCACCCTACTACAAGTCGTGTAAGGTCAGTCCGGGCGGTATTTTGGCGGCTTTGTTCGCCCCTGACGACCTTACCATCGGCTTTTGTTATGCGCTCAAAACAAGATTCTGTGTGTGGCATGCGCTGCTCTTTGCAGGCAGCTCTTTTGGGTACCTATACTTATTGTGGCATGGACGCGCATGTTGAGCTTTTTTCTTAGCTGATGCCTGATGCAGGCGTTTCGGGCGGCTGATATCTAATGCGGGGGTAGGGGCGGCTGGATCAGTTGATGCAGACAGTGGAAAGAACTGAGGTTGTGGCTGTTGCGTGGGATCGCTCCTCACCACGACTGATGCGTATATGGAGAACGAGCCCCGTCACCCCATGTGCTCAAATCGTCGCAGTTCATTCGAACGTCACCACGATACATAGAGCACATATCTGACGGTGAAGTGTGGACCCATCTACCTTGCTGGGTCTGACGCGCCGAATTATGTAACGGCCAATTGTGCACGCCTCCACCGGCTCTGTCGCTAAGCCTGTCTGGCACCATTTACCTGCGCCAAAGTTGGCGTGATTGAAGCCAACTCGTCACAGACTTAATGCTTATTTTCAACGTGAAATGTGTCACAGATTGTTCAATTATGTAAATCGCCAGCTAAGCGATTTTGCAGTAAATATACATCATTTGCTAAGATTTATTATGGATTTATTATATTAAAAAAAAGAAAAAAATATTATGGAGACATTCGTTTATTATTTATGAGCATTGAAAGTTTAAAGTTGGGTCACTCCCGGATTCTGTCCACCGTATAGGTGAAGCCGAAGGGCGGGTTTAGGGGCGTTGTATCCCTGCTATCTCGAAACGCACAATGACATTCTCGTTTGTGCTGCAGTTCCGTTTCTCCATCCACATGACGGAGGAGCACTCTGGGGCGGCTTCCGTCTACATCCTCGACTCGCACAACCGGCAGGAGGTGTGGCGCTTCTACGGCAGGATGAAGACCAGCGAGTGGTCGCAGGAGGTGGTCGTCCTGCCGACCAGCTTCAACGACAGGTGCGCTATAGTTGGGGTGAACACACACTGTCCCTACTGACAGCTGTACGGCTCTAGGTTATACATCTTTGGCCAATCTTCTCTCAATGTCTATAGGTGATCTCATGGGCGGCGCCACCGGGGGGGACGGGGGGGACAGGTCCCCCGCTATCGAAAGTTAGGGGGGTACAGTACCCCCCTATCGGCGAGGTCCGTTCAATAGTTGATAATAATGCATTGTAGAGTTATCCGTCGCATTTAATGCATCGTTGGTTAATCAAGACAGGTTCTGAATAAAGATTGCTGTTGGGATGTATCGCAGGGGGTCCTGGCCATCTGCAAAAGGTGTGGAGCTGTGATGCCTGTAGTCATAAGGTGATCGGCAGGGCCTCGGGGATCGTGCCCCCCCTTTTTGGGGCGCCAGACAGGGTTTATTACCTCCCCCACCCCACTGCCAGACCACATTGCCGACAAAACCAAGTTTACTGAAATTCCATAGATTTCCGTTACTATATGGATATTTTCCATTCCTAATTAGTCAAATTCAAGCATGGCAGCTCTACCACAGGAACCATTTGAAATATATGCCATTTAACCCAGCACTTGTGGGCAGAAGTGTTCGGATAGATCACAGGCAGGACCAAAAAAGCACGCCGTAGCCCAAGATCTTATAATTGGGTAGCATCGGCACCCTCTCGTCAAGGGGTTCGATAGCACTCGTTTTTTTTCTGCAAAACTAAGTTCGGTCGGCGGCCGAACGGCTGGGGGTCTAATCAAGCCCCCTTCCCTCCCCTTCTTACGTCAGCGGCTGTGAAAATGCCATTACCAGCTGTTGAAACATGGCAGTTGCTTTTGCATGAGTGCACGAAAGGGTTTTAGGTACGTGATACGTGAAAGGTTCTACATGAAATTGAGATACACCAGCTTATCAAATTGTGCTCACTGTGGTGCGCTCGGTTTTACCTTGACTAGTCTTTGAATTCTGGGGTGAAACAGACCAGTCAAGAAACCTGTTCCATAAGGAGAGCCACTGATGCTAAAGAGATGAGGGATGAGGTTTCAAGAGACCTTCATTACCTCCCAAAGGGGTGCCACGCCATTTGCCAATCCCTGCTGTAGTTGTTACGATTGGAGGGTGAATATGAGAACGATGCAGGTCGTGACAGCTCGATCATGACGAACACAATGGTGCCGACATCACAGCTCTATGTACCGCAATTTTTGACGAAGTTAATCAACAAGGACCGGAATCCTACCCTGGGGCACTTCACCTGCAGAGGTCGCCGGACCTGAGACCCTTTCACTCAATTTTTTCAACGGTGCATGCGGCATGCGCTCGTTTTTCCCTTGAAGCTCTTGGTAAGTAAAATCCATCAGAAAGTGTGATCAAATAACGGCTGGTGACCTTCCATGACCTAGCATGACCTTTTGAGTGACCACCGATGACATGACCACTGACGGCTAGCCATTAGCTGCACCCTGCCCGTTGCATATGGATCAGGTGGTGATGTCATGATTCTGAAATTATATTGCAGTTTTGGCGCACTTGTCAGAGCAGAAAACATTCCCACTTTTCCTCCATGACTATATGATGATGAAGCCATGAAGCTGACCAGACGCAAGATCGAAAATTTGAAAGTACGAAACGTAAGTAGTTGGCACTGCTACTCATACCTAAGCAATTCGCAGCTTGTAGGAAACCAGCTTTGAGTTGGCAAGACTGCAAATTTTGATTTAGAGGCAAGGATGCTTGAAAAGGTGATCGATCTTATAGTTGTCCTATGATAAGTTTGGAAACGGGATGCACCATTCGATGTGTTTTGGGCTTTGCCAAGTTTCGCGGCGTTACGTGCCTCGTTTTTTTTTTGCATACACGATCAGTATCTACTTTTGGGATTCTCAGTCAGGCAAGCCCCCGTCCCCGTCCCCCCCTATCGAAAACCCGTGGCGCCGCCCCTGGGTGATCTATAGTGAAACGAGCAAATATCATCCACGCTGCTTAGCTTATGTTGGCACATATGATAGCGCGATGTGTAAAATGTGTCGGATTAATATCCAGACAATGTCTAATTTTATTGTTGTGTCTCCGTTTCAGCTATTACCTGGTCATTGGAGCGGCAAAAAGTCTCTCCAGCAAGGCCTCAATCGGGATTGACGATTTATCGTTGAGCAGAGAGTGCTTCGCCCAAGGTAGGCTCACCTCTGATAGCTCGAGCGAATCTGTATCGACATTGACGTTTTGATACGAACCATACAGCTCATAATGGATGTTGAATGAAGCAAAGCTCTGGCATGTTAGGTGCAATTATTACAATGAATGATACATTACAGTTCTTATCAATGTTGATCGTCTGCCCATCCTGATATTTAGGTTCGCTAGTAAACGTGACGACAGTGAAAAGGTTTGAAAAGTGTTTTCCTAAAAAAAAACGTATCATTACATTCTCACACGGCGCTGCAATGACCGACGTTTACTTCTTCCTTGGACAATATACCAATCCGCGCATCATAATGAAGACATGCCATTCCCATATTATGTATTTCCACTCCACCTCAAAGTCATGCTGTACACGAATAACTATATTTGACTGCTGATATAACATCGGTGGTGGTTATGCCGCATTGTCAGCTACCGTTCTACATTCCAGGCGTCCCAGACCGGTATCGTCACCAGTACAAATACAATCTGAGCAATCCAGACACCTGGCGTAAGTACTGGCACTTGTGGATTGCACGCTTTCTATGGCTGGGAACACATACATGAACATTGGTATGTAATGAATAATAATCTAAAATTGTATTGTACAGGGTGGCGCCGATAAATGAAGACAATATGTGCTCCACACAAAACATTAATTTTTTGACAAAAGTCAGTGCATTGGATGGAAGCTTGGAGCTGGGGTGACTGATGGCGACCTGTCGAGCAGACTTCACTCGATGAATCCCCCTCCGCGTCGATGACGGCCTCGATGCGCGGCCTGAACCGGGCGCAGGCCTTGGTCAGCATGGTCTTGTCCATCTTGACCATCATCTGCTTGATGGCTGACTTCATAGAGTCAATATTGTTGTGTGGGTGTTTGTTAGTGTCCCTCTCGACTACGCCCCACACGTAATAGTCGAGCGGGTTCAGGTCCGGGGAGTTTGGCGGCCAGAGCTCGGGCGTGATGTGGCTGTGCAGGTTGGCGCTCATCCACTCCTGCGTCACCCTGGCCTGAGGGCGGGTGCAGAGTCTTGTTGGAACACATAGGGCCTTCCTCAGCCACTCGGTAGATCCAGGGCTTCACGACGTCACCGTCATCGACGGTGACGTCGACGTCGGGTCGTCGTCGACGATGTTCTCGGCTTTTGCAATGAAATCGTCGTCTCTGACGGTATCAGATCGTCGGGGATGTTTCTTCCGCTTTACCACAGACGGAACGTCGCCCACAGACTCATCCAAGATCCGCTCGACTTTATAATCATGGCTTCTGTAGACCCTGAGGAAGTTGGCGACCTGGGGTGCCTCGCTGCCGGCGTGAAGCGCCACAATGACCGCGTGCCTTTTCATTTCTTCCGCTATCATCTTCAGCTGCAACGTTCCCTTTTGCTATGGACAACAATTTACATAAAGCATGGCATATGAATGCAAAAAATTATTGCTTTGCACTAAATAGTTTCCTCGTAACACAGGTTTGAAATTTGTGGTTATTTACCGGCGCCACCCTGTACTATATTGTATTGTATTGTATTGTGAAAAAATGTTTGTACTTCATACGTTAGTGACCTCAATGCCCCTAACAGACGATTTAACGTCTGCGAAGTGAGATCTTACAAAAGCGTCTTCCTTTAGGCGTCACTCAAATGCCCACCTTCGATCGATAATTGTTTTATACTCGTTCATGCTTCATCTAAGTACTGTTTTTTTTTTTGTCGTCGTGCATTAGACTCTTATTTCGTGGAAGTGGGAGCTGTCAAACCCGTGTCTTGAAGCTTACATTTTGTTAGGTTTGTACAAGTTTTTGTTGATGTTTAAACCAATATAATAATAAGTCAGCGTGATTGATTCGTTTCAAACGATGCGCTATTTGCTGTTACAGTTCCGAAGACTCCAGCCCTTCCAGAACCGAATGGCACAGGTAAGTCTACATTTTTTCTTTAATATGCTTTTAGGATTGTCTGGATAATGTCAATCATGCGCTGTGCTAAGAAAAACTCTTCAGTTGCACACACTTGCCACATCGGAGCAAATTTCATCTCAGGTAGATAAGTAGGTATAGGCACAAATATCAAAATCGAAATCATCGAAATTATGGGTAAATGCAAACAAATGAATTTGTAGTTGTTCAGCAGCCAGTGGCCCGTGGATTCAAGTTCCAAGTATATTGCAATGTCTTTTGCGAATGAGTTGTAAAAAAAAAAAAACGTAAAGCTGCTCTCACAAGCTTTGCTTTCATCTCAATTGACAGGCTATCGGTGTGCCCCACCGTTGATAATACAAAGACGGGCACTCGCAGTCTGAAAAATAAAAACACCAAACTTCCAAGAACCCTCTTCGGTAACTTGCTGTGAGGGCAATTTCTGTTTAAACATTTCGCCCAGGTCGTTATTGGCAGTAGTTATTCGTCATCGCGCACCATTGGCCAGCCGCACGGTCGGTGCGCTCGTTGGTGCCCCGCTGCACTGGGGGCGGGCTGTTTTTGCCAGGCTGTCGGCGAGCTGTCCCAGCCAGCCACCGCACTGAATGCGACCTGATCACCGCGGATCGGCCGTTCAGCGGTCCGGGCCGCTCGCACCGCTGAATGCCGCACCTGCCGCGGTCAGCGCCGCATTGACTGAATGTCGCCACTGACGCAGCGGGCGCCGCAGCGGAACAGCGGGAGCGCTGTGTCGGCGCTCATGTTTCGTGGCGTTTTTTGCTCGCGTTGATGTGGTTCTGATCAAATTGCGGCGATGGCATTAGCGTAGGTGGCATTGTGGTTTTAGGCTGGGGGGATCCAGAGCGTCGTAAGCCTCGTCGTAGCTGCGACGTGTCGCAAGTTGTGTAGTAAGTCGTTTTTGAAGGGATCAATTGATGAGTAGCGTTACTTAAGTAGTAAAGTCTATCGCAAATAGCCTGATTTGCGACACAACTTACGAATTTGAAATAGCAGTCGTAAGTTGTGTCGCAAGTTGACCTTGCCTTGAGGAAGAGGTCACAGGTCACAGGTCATTCGGGTCATGGTCACGAAATTTACATGGTAGGTGTAAAATTGTTTAAACTTTAGATCCTGAAAATTTGGTTGCAATCCGTTGACGCTAACGCGAGTTATAGAGCTTGAACTGACGGGTCGTCTATGAGGCCTCAATCCGTGCCAGCGAGAGTGTTGAAAATGGTGCATTCGGGGATATGAAGTAGCCTAACACCATTCCAGCAACTACTGGCGAATCCAGAAAGGCGGTCTTGGACGTTGCAAGGGGCATCCCCCAAAATATTCTCCCAATTCCAAAAACGACGTGTCCCAGCTGACCCCGATGACCTACATGAGCTCTGTGATGACCCCAAGTTGACCTTTTTGACCTGGCCTGTCCCAGATGACCTCCGTGACATCCTATTGAGCTCTCTGATGACTCCAAGCTGACCTCTGTGACCTGACGTGTCCCTGATGACCCACATGACCTCCAATAGAGCTATGTGATGACCCCAACATGACCTTTGTGACCTGATGTGTCCCAGATGACCTCCGTGACCTCCAATTGAGCTCTCTGATGACTCCAAGCTGACCTCTGTGACCTGACGTGTCCCAGATGACCTCCATTTGAGCTCTGTGATGACCCCAACTTGACCTCTGTGACCTGGCGTGTCCCATATGACCTCTGTAACCTCTAAGTGACCTCTATGATGACCCCAAGCTAGCCTCTGTGACCTGACGTGTCCCAGATGACCCTCATGACCTCCAATAGAGCTCTGTGATGACCCCAAGCTGACCTCTGTTACCTGACGTGTCCCAGATGACCTCCGTGACCTCCAATTGAGCTCTCTAGTGGCTCCAAGCTGACCTCTGTGACCTGACGTGTCCCAGATGACCTCCAATTGAGCTCTCTGATGACCTTTAGTTGACCTCTGTGACCTGACGTGTCCCATATGACCTCTGTGACCTCTAAGTGACCTCTCTGATGGCACCAAGCTGACCTCTGTGACCTGACGTGTCCCAGATGGCCCCAATGACCTTCAATTGAGCTCTGTGATGACCCCAAGTTGACCTCTGTGACTTGATGTGTCCCAGATGACCTCCGTGACCTCCAATTGAGCTCTGTGATGACCCTAGGTTGACCTCTGTGACTTGACGTGCCCCCAAGTTGCCCTCTGTGACCTGACGTGTCTCAGATTACCTCCGTGGTCTCTAATTGAGCTCTGTGATGACCCCAAGTTGACCTCTGTGACCTGACGTGTCCCAGATGACCTCTGTAACCTCCAATTGTGACCTCCATCTACAAATTTCTTACCTCTCTGTGACCTCAAACTCTCGGAACTCATTTCTTCTAAAGCATCTATTCCTACATGCCGGGGTATGTCTTAAGCACAGCACGAGCCGGGCAGTAAAACTATGACCAAGAAACTGTCGGTGTCAAAATGCCATGTTATTTGATAGGCCGGGCAGGAAACAAAAGTTTACTGCCCGAGTTTACTGCCCAGGGCAATGACCTCTAAACTACAGTTTATCGCATTAGTCCAGAGGTATAATATTGACAGGGAATGTATAATTGACATCATTATTGCATGATATTTGCCGCGTAAAATTAGAAAACTAACATTTTTTGGTAAATATCTGCTCTGCTTATCAAGGGTTTTGAAATATTTTGTATTGGTTACAAAGCCGAAATTATGGTAAGATATAGGTACGCCTATTAATCGAAATCCGTTATCGCTTGTTGTCTTATCTTCGTTTGATATGTCCACTGATACCTTGGGCCTAAGTAAATGCGTTTTTATTTGGCAGTTGTAGTCCTTTCCTCGAAACAAACATGTAAAATATGGAAAATATAATGTATTTAACGAACGTTTAGCCATAGGGCATATCGCCATATCAACAAAGTACGATTACATAAATGAAGCAAAGATTCTTGCAAGAGCACTGGGAAAATTCACGTTTAATCACTAGGAATATTATACCTTCTTCTTGTTCTTATGTCGTGGCAAATCATTCAAGTATTATGTTCCTTGGATATCTAATTGTTGTGCCATTTTGAGTTGATATTTTCAGACGTGATTCTTTTTGAAGTAAGGTATTTTGATGCATTTTCTTCTATAAATTTACTTTAAGGCTTTATCCACAGCAGTAGCGCAATCACTGTTAGGAAAATATGGACTAAACAATTGTATAAAAGTGTCACCAAAACCTGTCGAAACTGACCTAGCTATGCGGCATGTAGGAAAAATCTTACTGACCTCAGCCGTACGATATTATTTGGAAACTCGGCTTGCAAAATTTGACTCCGGCCCTCGTGCTTCGCACTCGGGCCTACGTCAATTTTGCAAACCTCGTTTCCAAATAATTTCGTCGGCCCGGTCAGTAATATATATTCTAGATGCCCTATAGCCACGAATCTCCTGTGATCGATCCCAAATTTTATGGCAAATCACGTGAGCGTTAGCAACCACAAGTCACCCAGTTAATACAAAGCTTCAGAATCAGAGAACATGCTTGACCTTGCTGTCTCATAAGCTCGCAAACCAGAAAGGCGAATGTTCCTTTATGCGTGATAGAGTTTTCGACCTTACTGACGTTTACTACGGGATCAGCTGATCGTGTAGCCTTTTAAATTCTCGAGTAAAGCGGGTATTTAAGCCTCGTCGCAGCTACGTTCTGTCGTATCCTCCGACAAACCCCTCTTTCCTCAACATCCCTCCTTTTTCGCTACGACACAACTTGCGACGGGACATGTGTCGTAACTTGCGACGTGTCGTAGATGGACTTGCGACGCCCTGGATCCCCCCGGCCCTAGTGTCTTTTGTTCTATTACTGGCTGTCAGAGACCGACACGCTCCATTACCTTTGATGTTAAAAGCGTATACCTAATCCTATCAGCGGGTGCGTCATTGGTTGCCAACTAGGGCGGTGCAATCCCCTGTAGCTAACCAGCCCCCGCTTCTTTAATATTATATTATTTCAGCAATCAGCATGCCGCCACGTCAATGCCCAGAGTGCATTCACCTCACAGGACAATGTTTTACGGCAAACAGTCAAAATTGAGGCGGAAAGCGTCATCAGCAGCGTCCACAGCCCGCTCTGCTCCCGTTTCAGTGTTCTCATTCGGTACCTGCGGCGCCTCCGGTCGCGATGGACCGCAGCAGCGCGAGTGTAACGCCGCTTACAAGAACCGCACGGCGTCACACGTCAGCGTGCTGGACGCTCCCACCTACAAGGGAGTGCAGGTGTGGCGAGTCCCAGCCACCGGCATCTACTCGTAAGTGGATATACGACAGGAAGGACGCTATATAATAATTGTAATAGCACACAAGTGGTCGTGTGATGCGTTTAAAAAGTAAAAAGGTGCAAAAACAAACGACTTAAGGGTATGTCAGAGTAGCACTGCATCCATACATTATAACGGTACTTTGGGTACATGCCATCTATTATTGTCGTTCAACAGACTTAACAAGTTTTCCTGAACGTAAAATACATACATTATTTTGTATTGCTCCGTCTGATGTGCTTAACCCTCGCCCGCACATGGGGGGGGGTGGTTGCCACCCCCCCCCCCAGGTAGTCTTTCTGCTCTGCACTCCACATTTTTAGAGCTAGAAGGCTGATTTTTCGTATAGCTGCTCCTCTATCCTTTCTTGATGTTCACTGAAAATTTCAAGTTTCTGTGATTTTTGGTTTCGGAGATATGACCTTGTTTGTCAGGTCATGTCATGACCCAAATGGCCAATTCTCAACATATTGCGTTTGCCATGGGCCTTATGAGCTTTTGACACCCTGATTTCGGCCTTTTTTGCCAGTCTTACCTCCCACCTATCATGGAACATGTTGTTCGACGATGTACAGGGGTCAAGGTCAGGGTCAAGGTCAACCTAGGTCATCTAAGATAATTGCGTTTTAGGCAAGCTGAATTTACTTTTTTGAAGTTTTTTGACTGCATTTTTGGTAAAAGCTTCTCAGATCATGATTTCATGTAATATGGACCCAAAAACAATCGGTGCACACATCAGTATACACACAGACACACACAGACATACAAACACATATAATTGACCTTGACTTAACTTGACCTGAAATGACCTAAGCAGCAAAATTCTGGTCGGGTAGTGTGACAAAGAGGTTCTAGCTGGCTTGGCACCAGAAAACAGCATCGTCATCGGTATTTGATAAGCAGCACACTTGATATCCAACGGTGACCCAAAACAGCAACATTTTTTAGTTTGACCTGACCTGGAAGGTCAATGACTGACCTGAGAAGGTAAAACTGGGTATCATTGGATTCGTCTCTTCCCAAAGAATCTTTTTGGTCTTTACCGCTAAGCTCTATCTCCAACAGGAACGAAATGGCGCGGGGGGGGGGGTGGCAACCACCCCCCCCCCCCATGTGCGTTCTAGGATGGGAAAATGGCATGTGCGGGCGAGGGTTAAGGCGTCTGTTTGATGTATCCTGTGAATACCCGTGCCGTGTCCTGTGGGGTCCATATGGCCTGTATTCTGTATCCCCTGAAAGGCCGGTTGCGCGCGGTGCCGTCCAAACTGACCCCCTGTGTTCGCGGTAGGCTGGTGGCTCGCGGCGCCAGCGGAGGCCAGGGGTTCGATACCTCGAGCCGGGTCAGCCTGGGCTCCACGGCCGTTTCTGTGGTGTCGCTCACGGAGGGAGAGGAGGTCTACATGGTGGTCGGCCAGGAGGGCACCGGGCCCTGCAACAAGGACAGCCAGGTCAGTCAACAATCTCTGCAGCAAGGACAGCCAGGTCAGTCAGATGTTACCAGGTCAGTCACCGGGCCCTGCAACAAGGACAGCCAGGTAAGTGCAACAACAACCAGGATGGCACCGGGCCCTGCAACAAGAACAGACAGTCAGGTCAGTCAGGTCAATCAGGTCAGCCACCGGGCACTGCGCAGCAAAGTCGGTCGTGTCAGTCTCGTCAGCCACCCGGTCAGTGGTCTTGCAACAAAAACAGCGAGGCAGATGCAGTTTCAGCTCAGGAACACGATGGTGCCATTTATATTGTTGTACGATGTCAAAAACGTACTGAAAGATGGTTTTAAAAATATGTTATTTTAAAATTTTGACAATAATACAAATAACTTTGCTATTTTTTAAGATATTGGGCTTAAACTTGCCAGAGTAGTTCATTAGTTTGTGATCTATGACATATATTCCGGTTTTTGCGAAAAATTAAAAACTTTTTGAGAAAAGTCATGCGCGGGCTAACGAGTAGTGTAAATATTTTCGGCAACAAGCGTAACGCTTCGTAAAGCGAGGAATTATGACGAAAACTGAAGTGTACTCAAGAGATCTGACCAGGGCTCTGACCAGTGCCTGACCAGTGCCAGAGGCTGAGCTTTGTTTTTGTTGATGCAGACGCTATGAGATTTCACAACAGTAGGTACCTAATGTCAGTTATTCTACATATAACCGTCAACCGCAGCGGCTACATCAGCGCCTGAGACATGCGGAGCTGTTGACTAGCAGCCGGGGACTGCGATGTCGCGGAACCGGGACGGGCTGAGGGTGCACGCCGCTCGGGGGGGGGGGGGCACCAGGCGGACAAGATGGATGACCAGTCTGCGAGCTGACCCTCCATCAGCTCTGGCAGACTTCTTCGATAAGCGGCATCGGACGCTGAATCCATCTTCAAATGCACTTTTGTTATTGTTGTTGGAGGCCAAAAACAAGCCTGTCCAAAGAGCGTTAGATTCAGACTTAAAAATAGGCAACAAAAGGCACGTTTTTTAGGAAAGCATAAAGGGAAATGGTATATTTGCTACGAATATTTGTCTTTTATTGCAATGTCAACAATCATCGAATCAAAAGCCTGTGTGACGATATCTATGTCGCTCATTGACCTTACATTTACATTTTTTTCTTGTCAACAACGCTCAACTGAAGCATTATCATTTAGGCCTCACTCCAGTACGAATCTCCCCCACTTCTGACCGCCCGTCCCTCCTTTTCAACCCCACCGCAGGACAACTTGAACCGGACGCTGGAGCGGTGTAAGCCCTCCACCCACCCCACCGACCTGAAGGTGCTGCACCCGCTGCACGGGTTCCGCTCCGCGGCCTCCGGCTACCACCGGCGCCGTGGCCGACGCTGGCTGGCCAGACGCGACGGCAGCATTCTCCACAACCTGAAGTCGATCACATTCGTGGGCGGCGGCGGCGGCGGGGGTGGAGGAACGTTCGTCTTTCTGGTGAGTGACCGCGTATGAGATGACTTTGCGCACGAGACATGCATGCGCTCGTGTCTTTTCTGTGGAATTTTGTGTGCCTGCGAGTTATACCTATTCATTGTGTTTGATATGCACTATTCATTTTATATGATGAATTGCGTTAATTCAAGACCAGACCGCTCTAAATGCTTAGAGAATAAACATACTCGCAAGACTTTGCCAAGTGAAAGTTCACTTCTCTTATAGCTTCACTGACTGCTAACATTTTTATGTTAACATTCATTAGACTTCAGATCCTTTCTATGAATGCGTAACAAATAATGTAAACAAATTAGGATTGTCGTTTGTCGCACATTGTCTGCGTCAGATTACATCACTTACCTAGACCGGAAGGCGTAATTGAAATGAATGGCTGGTGTGTGCTGCCGAGGAAGGCTAATATCCGCCATTGCTAAGTCGTCTGTGGCGGACGCGTCTGTCTGGCGGTTCTTTATCCTCATAGGTCACTGGGGTCGGACGGCCATTTACAAAGACCGGTGGTGTGGTGGGGTACGCTCGGTTGGGTCCAATGATACAAAACTGGCGCAGTTTATCCAAAACACTGTTTGCTGTTCCGGAAGGAAGCATAGCAAAGTAGAAGTGACTATGAACCTTTTTTCCAATAAATTCCTCCTACGTACTTACAGCAACGCTATTTTGTTGATTCCGGATAAACATTTACATATGATCTTTATGGGTTGGCTACTGTTCCGATGAATAGCGGCTAAAGGGCGTGCTCATGCTTCTCAGTTTTCCATTAATAAAAGCACACCAAGCCAGAGAGCTGCATTTTCCCAATGAAACTTCTATGCTGTGCCAAATGACCTCCTTCTCACATCTCACGCTCACTCCAGTGCTCTTCTTCATTCAAATGTCCTGTAATATCTCCCCGAGCAATGGCTCTCAGATCTGCCTCCTCCAGAAGTCACCATCCCACCCTCCACGCTGCCGCAGGTGAGGAACAGTCAGCGCGTGCCTCTGGTAGTGGCCGCCGGTGGCGGAGGCCTCTCCGACAAGAAGGGCGTGATGCACTCCCCTGATGGTCGTGGCGAGAACCACACCCTGGGCAGCGGCAACGGTCGCTTCTCCGATCCGGAGGCCGCCGGTGAGTCGTTGGCCCGCAGGCTGCTCGCGCTGGTTGAGCCAAGAGGTCTTTTGCCATAGTGCCATAGTATTTCCGTTTTTCCCTGCAGGTATTGTGTCAGACCTTCCATTTCTTTGACCCCTCTTGGACTCTGAAGTCCTGCTGACCTCTAACACTCACTGACCTCTGGTACTGCCCTTTTGGCCTTCGTTAGCCACTGCAACTGGTTGGGTTCTCTGACTTCTGCTTTCCGTTGCTGCCGTCTTAGCCCTGCTGACCTCTTCCCTGCTGACCTCTGACCCCGGCCGTGGCCGTCAGGTGCCGGCGGCGGCTGGAACGACTCAGAGCCGGTCGGCGCTGGCGGATGGCCCCTGTCGCTGGGGGCGCGGGGTGGCGAGCCCTGCGCCACGGCTGCCGACTGGAGCACTTTTGGCGGCTTCGGCGGCGGCGGTGGCGGCTGTAGAGGCGGCGGCGGTGGAGGCGGATACGCAGGTTAGGGCTGTAAAATGACGAGGCTTGTTTGCAGGCTTAGGTTATTTGATTGTCAATGGCATGGATATGACACATGAATAAGGAAATTGAGAGATCCGTTGACTATGCCGTAATAGTTTGCAAACTCAGAGAAAGGCGCTATAATGATGAATGGTCATTGGTCATGGATCGTCAACACGCGATTGTCGTTCCCTGGCTAGAGCTGATCGGACACCGAATTATTGATAAGCCGCCGATATCAACTTGCATTAAAGTTGGCTGTTGTATATTTCCGCGACACTCTTTTACCTTTCATTTTTATGGCTTTGCTGACATTAGTTTGGCTCTGTTTCCTCATAGTCTAAATTCATATCACCAAGGTGACAAACTGCTCCGCCGGGCACCTGTTCAATTGCTCATTGTTCCATAATTCCCCCATAGACTGACGCGTTCAACCCTGTTCCCAGGAGGAGACACGATCGATGGTGTGGACAAGAGTGGTCGTGGCGGCACCAGTTACACATCTGGACTGTACCGTGTCGTAGATCCGGCCAGTCACATCGGCCCAGGGGAGGTGCACATCATACCGGCCTTCAAGGTAGGAGAGGGAGAGGGAGAGGGAGAGAGAGAGAGAGAGAGAGAGAGAGAGAGAGAGAGAGAGAGAGAGAGAGAGAGAGAGAGAGAGAGAGAGAGAGAGAGAGAGAGAGAGAGAGAGAGAGAAAGAGAGAGAGACTTTCATGCAATGCTGCTAATCCAGCATAAACCTGTGTCCACCGACGGTCGGACTATGACGACTGGTTCATTCACTCGCGCTTCATTTGCATCGTTTCTTTTTCCAATCAAGGCGGGTGGCTCGCGAGTCGCTGCTGTTAGTCTGACTACGACCGGCAAATATCCACTCTAGGCAGCTGGATCGACGGTAATAGGCAGCAGCCTTGACTGATGCGCTGCTAGAAGAGACAGAAAACGAGGCAAACAAGCCGACGGTTCCCGGAACTTGGCGTGTTACAGATGCAGAATAAACAACTGGTCCGACGGAACGAATAGGAAGTAGATGATACACATATGTATTTCGGACGCTGAGAAAAACATGCTGGGATGAGATTTGAAACCGAGACACTTGTAATTGTTTTCACATAAAGACACTAATGCCTTGATTGTTGTAATTGCACTGCACAAGTTCCTATAGTAAGTGCGTCTCCTTCACCTCGACTCTACGTCTCTGTTTTCCGCTGTGCCCTGCACTCCGACTCTGTTTGGGTGTCCTCGACACTTTACACACTCCTGCTATCGACTGGCCGGCGGCGGCGGCACCGACAGCCTGCGACTCTGATTATTCCACTTGAGTCAGTGATTGGGACGGTCGCCGCGCCGCCATTGGCCGCGTGGTGACACAGTCAATGTCGCTGATGGTCGGTAATTGCCCTGATGAGACGGCCGATGGGCTCTGACGACGGTAGCGGCAGAGGAGGCGGTGGAGCCCCGCGCCTCTCTGGAGATATTGCGTCGGCGATTGGCGGCTCTCAGATGGACCGGATGCGAACCGGCGACAGGGTGTCTGGTGGGGACAGGCGCCGCTTCAGACATCCACTTACATCGCCCCGTGTCGCCTGTAGCTATTGACGACTTCATAGTTGAACGGATATTGCGTGGTAAATAAGGAAACCAAATGTACGGCGCAGTGACGCAGAAAATGATGTTATCGGCACAGTGGTTTGCTGTTTTGTATTCGCTTCTGTCAGTGTGCCACCAGATAAATGTTCATACAGAAGACTACATAGATTTGTTAAACTTATATGAGACACGCGATGTGGTGTGTGTGTGGTATGCAGGTTGATAACTGAACAAGCTCGACAAAGGACATACCGCTTGACAAGGTGTCTCGCTAGCTGTCATCCCGTCACTTATTTCTATAAGTTTACTTTTTATACCTACTTTTCCAGATTTATACTTAATTAGCTTATTTGATGACTGAGATACTACTGACTCAGTAGACTTTTTAGCTTGGATGTAAAATCAATGAAACAGCATTCAAATTACCGAAGCGATTTCACAGCCGCGCATTCAGTAGATCCACTGTTCTGTACGCACTAACCGTCTGTCACACGTTTGGCAGGGCTGTCAGTGCGAGCACCTGTGTGTGGCCATCAACAGCCAGATGAGTTCGGTGCGCTGCATCTGCAGGGACAACTGGACGCTGATGGATGACAAACGCTCCTGCCAAGGTGAGTCGCTCGCTGTCACTCTGTCACACTGTCGAACCGTCACTCGCCACCGACATATAGGTTTTCAGTGGCTACTGATATAACCTGTACCTGCATGTAAGCTGCATTACCAGCTGTCCTCCCAGCTTACCGAAAAAGAAATGAGCGTTCAACGTTTCACTTCTTAAATAGGAAAAAAGTCGACGTCTGTAGTCGTTGAACCATCATACATGTGAGGTGAACGACTTGAAAGCTTTCAGCCCGTTTTTGCCTGTGGTGGTCTCTGAGTCTGCCGACAATAGCTGCGTAAAAGTTGAATTGGTTACAACCAAAGACCATCTGGCAATTGGCAAATCAGTACCAAACTGTAGAACATCATAGACAAAAGGAATTAAGCTTTATTGCGCATTGCTCAGAAGAGACTGGTTTGAAGGTTATATATTGCTAAAAGCTTGTTTCGATGGTGAGTTTGAGGCTACTGTTTTTCCCAACGGGTATGTTTTTTTCCCTCATATAAAGCACGTATATTTATGTGTGGGCTGTAGTTGCCATGCGTAAATTGCATCCGTTATAGGTCTGATGGCAGGAATCATTCGGTCCGGCCACCACCACCAGCGTATAGCATCACATCCGGCTCTTATAAAATTGTAATCCCGCTTTTGTCGAGAGACAATATTTTTTGTCTCCTATTCTCCATTCAGCATCGATCCCGTTCAATTCCTATTTCGCTTAGCAGCAGCTGGAACGGAATTGAGTGGAGCGAATTTTTCCGACAAAATTTACATTTACGAGGCAGTCATAAAAGACCATTTCTCCTAGAACGTCTCGCTGCGGCTCACATAACCCACCGACGCTTTGGCTTTCAGAGCCGTCTGCCGTCCGGACCGCCTACCCGGCCGGCCGGCCGCCTCCAGATCGCCTCTGCAGGCAGCCGGAGCAGGACCTTGCCGGCCGGGGAGGGAAGGGACAGCCGCGCGCCGCCGCCGCCGCCTCTCGTAATCGATACGGGCAGCTATGAGCGATACGGGAGGGAATTGGACGCCCCGGCCGATCGGCTCCTCCGCCGCCGAGCGGCCCTCGGATCGTGGGTCGCCGGTGGTCGCTATATCTGGAGCAGATTAAAACCGCCACCGCGGGCCGGGAATGCCGCGCTGGCCGGTGTGCACCGGCAGTCCAGTCTCGCCACCTCCTGGGAACAGGACGGTAGCGGTACCATTCGCTAGTTACAGACCGCTCTGCCGACGCGTTGTCATCTTTCTCCGGGTAGTTGCAGCTATACAGAGGCCCGTTGTCACAAGGTTTTATCTCCCTGCGAAAAATCCCACTGAAAGCATTGAGATGTTATGGTATTTTTAAACCGTGCAGAAGTTCACTTATGACGTCATAAGCCAGTGACCTGACCTGGCCTGAAAGTGGCATTAGTATCACAGAACTGGTTTGAAATAAAGGTCAGGTATGTCAACTTTCAGCTTTCCGTCGCTAACGAACGCGTTCCGAGCAATTGCAAGGAAATTGCCAGGGGTTAACACCCCCTCCCTTCCCCTGAGGTTCAACCTCCAACGCCACTCAAGAAGCATTGATACCATGCACCTCGACCCCAACATCTCTCTGAATTCCACCTCGCTGGAAGCCTTTATCGCTCGCCGGGACAACCGTCTCGGACAACAGCGGAGGATCACAGTCTGATTTGCCGCTCGCGCTCCGTTGACGATCGCGTTTTACGCACCAGCGGCCGCTGCGGCGCTCCAGCGATCTGTGTGGAGCTGCGACACAACACGAGATGGACACAAGCGGAACAACACGGCTTCCGGCGACTGATGCCAAGCGACGGCGGAGCGACAGACCGGCCCGCGGACGAGGGCTGCGGAGTCGGAGTCGGAGTTGGAGTCGGAGTCGGTCGGAGTCGACAGTTGTGACCGGAGTCGGAGTCTGAGTCGGAGTCGATTTTAGAAACCCGAGCCGGAGTCGGAGTCGGAGTCACCGAAAATCTGTCGACTCCGCAGCCCTGTTAGGTCTGCGGAGTCGGAGTCGGGAGTTGGAGTCGGTCGGAGTCGACAATTCTGCCCGGAGTCGGAGTCGGAGTCGGAGCTGGTTTTTGAAAGCCGGAGTCGGAGTCGAAGTCGGAGTCGCCGAAAATCCATCGACTCCGCAGACCGGCCCGCGGACGACACGGTGTCGGATGGCTCAGTGACCGATACTGTCGGTCAGCGTGGACGACATTGGATTTCCGCTTAGATTGTGCAACGGATGAGAATACTCCGAAATACATGCGATTCCTGCGATGGTGATATATGCGGACGAACAGAGAACATGTCTGCGTAAGCATTTTACAACTAATCATCGGGGTTTTCCCCGCGGCGGCTCATTCCAGAAACATATAGCTACAGTTATCGGGCTTGTATTAGCTGTCCTCACAGTACGCTATCATTCTGTTTGTTTGTTTTTATGTTGTAGGAGACGTATGACGACGATAAGGAAAATCTCGTGACTCCGGATGTACGATATCGAAACGTGTCTATGCAAGTCCCAAACAGGCTGTGTAGGTGTTGCAGGCACTTTAGAAAATCAGCCATTTTGTAAAATGCCTAGGCATTTTACAAAAAGACGGCTGTTTGAAAAATGACTGAACGCAACCAGGCTTTTTTTCAAAATGGCTAGCCATTTTACAAAATGACTAGGCATTTTGCAAAATGCCTGACCAGCATGGAACGTAGATCCCACTACAGATACTATGGCCAACAGTTTTTGGACGTCTTCCTATACCCTATATAGGTACGTGTTCAGCCTGTAGCTGATCGATTTGAAGCTCTGTGATAACGACAATGCTGAGTAACGACCAGGTTGAATTGCAGACTCGGCTGTAGCATAAAGCATTGTTTAGTTAACGCTGTAAAAACTCCCAAGTACATCAACGCCGTTCATGTCCTGCCTGAAACTAGACCTAACAAAACCAGCCGGAGACCGGCCCTAGTCAATAGGCAGGCCCGGTTGATGTACAATTACATGTAAACGAATGAGTGTAGTCTTTGTTTGATTGTGCCATTACGGACAAAACTGTATTATGTATTTGGACATTAAAAACACGTTCGAATTTAATTAGGTATAATCTCCCACTCCTTCTCTCTCATCCTCACATTTTAACACGCGCAGTGGAGGGGGGGGGCGGATTCCGCCCACCCCTCCTGTTTTTCGCCAATAACTCGCGCCGCAAGGTTTTCTTTAGGTTTTCTTCCTAACTTTTCTTTGGAATAAAAAAACTCTCTGATCACAATGAATATTAAAGCAATAATCAACAAAACACGATTAATTTTGCTCTGTGGCAACAGCTTTGAGTACCTACTTGCATGGTACCAGTTAAAAATATCAAGCTCCACCTCTGGAGAATCATCAGGTCGCTTGGCGTAGGACGAGAGCGTTGGTTTCAGAAGACACTAACGCCTAAGTGTGTGGGATCGAATCCTCGCGACTTCTAATAGTTTTACAGATACAGGCCGGCATAGGGCCAGTCGTTTGTTGACGCTCCAGATCGATCATTTTAAATCCAGCAGCGTCGCTGACGTGGGGGTTGGAAATGTCGCGGGCCTGCACTTCTCAAAATAGAGGTAGGTATGGACTTCCCACTGCTGGACTCCTCTGGTCATAATGCTGGACTCCTCGGTCCACCTACACGCTACCAAAACGTATATAATTAGGTACTCGTATCTACAACACACTGCTCAGTCATTTTGTAAAATGGCTAGGTATTTTGTAAAGTGCCTAGGCATTTTGCAAAATGACTGGAGAGTCAGTCATTTTGTAAAATGCCTAGGCTTTTTGCAAAAAGCCTGGAAAATCAGTCATTTTGCAAAATGCCTAGGCATTTTACAAAATGACTGATTTTCTAAAGTGCCTGCAACATAGGCATTCATTATGTGTAGGTATTGAGTTTGCATGGTCCAGAATACGTGCTCGTCAGTACGTAAGCGTATTCATGTTCGGCTCATTGCATTTTAGGGTTTTCCATATGAGTCACGACTCTAACAAGAACCCAGAGCAGCGACAGACCTGCACGCCTATCTTGAATGCACAATGTGCAGCTGCGTGCTCTCGGGCCGTGCAGTTCACCGCCCTGTGCTCTACCGTAGGTGCCGTTTTGCGTCGTACCCCTGCACCGAATGCCGCTGCATGCGGCGCGTCTCGTAAACGCTAGCCGTCCCGATAAACGAGTCTGTTTGCCTTTCACGAGTGCTGACGTCATTGGGACTCCCGGCGGCCGGCCAGGCTTTGTGAGCGGTCTGATTGAGTTGAGTCAGTGCTGGTCTGGCCGCGGCAGCGGAGGGTGCAGGCGATTGGGCTCGTGCTCTCGAGTGTGTTTGAGTCGCCGAGAGACCGAGATGGGACTCAATTGAAGAGGGTTCCATCTGAAGTTTGGCAGCTTAGCAGCTGTAACTAGGATGGCTACAGTCGCTAGTTAATCAGAAATCACTTGAAGTGCCGTATTGAGTAAGGACTGACAACAAGCACGACGGAGTGGTGGAAGCATTCAAGCTATGAGCTAGAACCAAGTTGCGATGGCAGAAGCAAGTGATCACGGCTCAAAGCACCGCGCACGCCTTGAACAGTACGAACGGGAAGCGGCGGACTGGTTGGCTGAGCAGTCTGCACTGCAGGGTCACTCGGCCCTGTACGGAACCCTCCTCCTTCTGCCTTACCTCCAAGACCTGAGCGACCACCACGCTGAGTACATCGCCAGCAGCGAGCAGACTCTGGTCACCACGTTCTGTATGGATGGCGCCCGGCTGCCGCTGCCTCTGACACCGAGTCCGGGGACCTGCGCCTGTGAAGCCATCACCGGCCTGGGGGTGGAGAAGATCCACCTGTCCGGCAGTGTTCGCGAGTGCACCGACGTGAGACTGTTTTCCGAGGAAGTGTCCGATATTGATGTGATGTTTCAGCTGGGACCAGCGCGTATAGTGACCTCGTCAGCAAGTCAAGAAGCTGATGTGTATCCATCTCTGGAGGGAATATCGACAGGACTGCTC